GGAAAGCTGGCAGGGTAATTTAGGCCTCGTTATTAAAACAGCAGGAAGTCAACTTCCTTCTGTTCACTTAAGAAAAAAAATTGAATCAATTTATAAACCAGCATCTAGACCCTTTCCAGATCAACAAGAATATGTTTACAAGGAGGATGTTCAGAGACATTTGGGACACTTGTGATCCCAGCAGTGAGGTCCTCATGGGAAGGTCCTTGGATGGGCCTTTAGGCTGAACTGTCTCTCTCGAGGCTCATAATCAGCCAAGGAGCAGATGGAATCATTTCAGATGAAGCAACAGAGGCTGTGAGATGACAGCGGCTTTGCTGAGATCACATGTCTGCATTTGGAGAAGCTGAGATTCAAGTCCAAATCTCTCCAGTCTTCTATATAAGAATGGTTCCCCAGGTCTCGTGAAGCCACAGCTGAAAATTGGTGTGACTTCCCCAGGGTCACACAAGTCCTTTGCAAAATCTTCCTCACTGAACCCGGGGATTTGCCGGGAGTGAGAACCACTGCCATTTTCACAGACTCAGTTTTGACCATGGGTGTGCACGAAACCCAAGAATGGAGGGTTATCGCTGCCGCTACCCTCATGCGTGTCTTTTCATTCCAGAAGCCAAGAAGTTACCAACTGCCTCAAAGTCAGGCTGAAGCCATCCACACTCTTTGGTCCTTTGCCAATGACAGGATTGTCCCTTTAAGAAACCAGTGCAAATAGGTCTTTAAACATGAATCTGCAAAAACTCCTGGTGAATTCTCAGGCTCAGCAGGGAACTTCTGCAAAAGAGTTGTGGCCCTGGGCAAGTCACACCAATTTTCAGCTGTCAGCTTCCTCATTTGTGCAATTAAGGCAATAACATCCCCACGCTGGGTCCCAGGGAGGGTTAAGTAGGAATGCAGATGTAGAAGTGCTTGGTGGATGAACTGACCGATAAGCATTTCCTGGCGCATTATTTAATAAGTGGTAACTTAATAGCAATGTAGCTTTCAAAAAAATGCCCCCTTGTTTGATGGTGCAAAACCCTGTTTTTAATTCCTTCTCCCTAAATTCTGAGTAGTTGTTGCAAATCTATGGATACCACTCAGCCTCTGGAAGCACAGATGATTTCCTTGAAGTTCCATAGCAGGTGGTAGGGCTGGGGTTAATATCAGGAAGGCTGGACCGAGGGGCCTATTTTTAAACACTGTGCTCTCTCACCTGCCAGACAAAGAGGGCGACTAGACATGTTGTTTGGCAAAGGCCGGATGTGATGACTTCCTTTTGTCTCTCTCAAGCCCTCCTCAGCCTCTGTTTGCAGGAGTTGGAGATGTTTGTGTAAGCTCCCTACTCTCTCAAGGACGCTGTCTTGGAAAGCTTCATTGATTTTTTTTACTGGACAGTGGCAATTTTGTCTGTTCCTCATAACCCTCTGAAACAAGCCTTGTGAGGTCCCCAAAGCAACTGGCAATGTGCTACTTTTAAAGCTCTTTTGTACCTGACTTTTCCATACTGGCCAGAAGAGGGTCCGGCCCTCCCAACCAAGGGGCTGTCCAGAGGCTGCTGGGCCAGCCTTCGACTGGCTTTATGTCACGATTTAGTTTCTGCTCTGTTTGCTCTCTTTTTGTGATATATGAGATGGGATTTCTCATCCATTCTGATCTCTAAATTAGAAAGACGGCCTCAAAGCCGATGGGATAAATGGAGTGAGCTCTGTGACCAAAGCCTGTGCAGGGAAGGACTTTTACACCTGAGGGCCCTCAGTTCGTGAGGCTGGACTCACACCAAAGTCCCCTTCACAAAACCATTTGCAACTCACTAAGAGAATAGTAGGGAGCAGGAGAGGCGAAAGCAGGCTGGTGCCGGAGAATTGTCTGTATTCTATCAATCATGTTTTAAATAAATGCTGATTGGTCATTATCCAGGCAGGAAATATAGGCAGGAAAACCAGACAGGAAGTAGTGGTGGGGAATTGAGAACAGGAGTATTCTGGGAAGAAGGAAGCCCAATCCTTTCCAGTACTGCGCAGATCACAGAAGAAGCAAGATATGACCTGCCCCATTGAGAAAGGTACTGAGCCATGTGGCTAACATAGATAAGAATAATGGGTTAATATAAGCTACAAGAGCTAATAAGAAGCCTTAGCTAATGGGCAAATCAGTTTTATAACTTATAGAGATCTCTGTGTGATTTTCTCTGGGACTAAATGGCTGGGGGACCGGGCAGGAGAGAAATCCCAACAAGCCCTGCCCTCATGTTACAGCAGGCCATCTCCTTGATGCTATATCCTATTTGGAGGAAAACAGATTCTCCATTGTCAGCTATGGACCAAATGCTTTGCCAAAAGCAGAAAAGCAAATGTGTTCTGTGCTGCTGTGGCAAGGGATGGGTCTAAAGGACTGAAGACAGAGCGGGTGGGACAGCAACAGGGAGTTGTGGATGGGCTTTGGACTCTGGCTGGTGCCTAAGATGGGCTGCCACTGCAGCAGTGAGGTCTCCAGCCTTCTCCAGACCCTCCTGGCAAATATTTCCTGTGGAAGGAACTATCTGTGGATAATTCACAAGTAGCCATCACAACCCTGCTCTTAAGGAGTTCGCAATTAATGAGGGCGACAAGCCACAGGTGGATAGTTTCCAAGTGCTGTCTTTGGAGATTCTGAGCACTTTCCTCTGACAGCTGAAAGTATCTGGACCAGGGGCCTGCATACTTTCAGTCACCTCCCAAACTCAGGGCCTAATAGTTCATGAGAATGTGACAAGCCCTGAAGAAGCGTGATGGAGGCATCTACCTAGACAAGAGATCTCAGAAGGCTGTGTGGAGGATGCGGCAGGAAGGAAGGGGATACCGTGTAGAGGAAACAGTGTGATCTAACACAGCTGCAGAAATCTTTCTGTCTCTGGGACACATTACTCGCTAGTTGTGGATGGCTTCTTAGAATTCTATGATTCTTGAACAAAAGCTTCCCTTGCCTTTGTTCTATGGTTTGTTCTTGGGATGGACTGGGGACTTTGGACCCCAGTTGGGGTGCAGAGGTCTTTGTGGGTGTAATAGGATGGTCTTATCTCAGCTCCTGGAGGCTATGATTAGCTATATTTTCCCTTGTGGGTTTAGATATGCTCACCAGAACAACCTCCCATTGTCAGTTCCCTGGCGTTGACCCTTAGAACCGTGATGTGCAACTTCCACTCACGATGTGACTTAATAATCTCTATCAAAGGCAGCCAATTCACGTGGGAGCCCTGAACTAAACCTGTGTTACATGGCTATTTAGAACTTGTAGGACTCGGCTAGGAACAGGCATTCCTCACCTGGCCCTCGGAAACCTCAATCAGAACCCCATTATATGCAGGAATACATTGTAACACTTGACCCTCACCCAAGCTTTGTAAACTTGTATTAATGTCACTGCTGTACTGATGAGGTGGTGCCTGCAGCTTGGGAGCCTTTAGAACCTGCTCAGGAACCCCCGGTAAAACCAAGATCTTGTGACCATTACACCAAGTAGAGCACATCAGACCTTAGCATTCAGGCCTCAAGTTCATGTGTGGACACTCGATCTAAAGGCACCTTTGCCTCCCTTCTCCTGAAGGCAGCTCGGCCTTATTCTTCATCTCCCTCTCTTTCATTCCTGACTCCTTCACTGTTGCATCCATGTGTGGCATGGTGTGGCGTGTAGAAACACCAAACAAATGGCTCATCAGTAAAGGAAGTCACCTGGCTGGTCCCTAAGGCCAGCTTTCTCCATGTATCATCTCTTTGATGGATGCCAGTGTCCCACTAGGGACTCGTGTGCCTGATGGCTGCACGCTGACATAAAGTCCCTCAAATACAGGTGACATCAGACATTTCATAGGTTTCCGTTTCTACCTGGCAAAAGGACACCATCTAATGATGTTCTACAGGATAAAGACTTGGGACTTGTCACCTCATTGCATCCATAGTTTTCATTCTGCACTGACTCCACTCACCCTGCAGCTTCTGAGTACAGTGGAGAGCGGAGAGACAGCCTCTCAGAGGTACCCTTGCATTATGGAACTCTGACTGCCACCAGGGACCACGCATTATCAGTCTCTGAAAGCTTGCTTTGTCCTGAATCCCTGACTCTGACTTTCGATTGCTGCTATTATGTGTCAATCAGTTCCCCCTTGAACCCACTCAGTGTTTATTCTCCCTGATTGCTCTGTTCTTCTGTGCTGCCATTTTGATTGTGACTCTTGCTTCTCTTCAATGCTTTATCACCTCACAATTATTTTCCCACTGAAAAGTCGTGATGACAGAGCAATCATCTAGACTTGAATCTCACAGTTCTGAATGTTTGAGATTCCCATCACTCTCCTCTGTAACCTCGCGTAAGCCTTGGAGGACCATGCTTCCTTTTGTTTGTAAATAAAATACATATGTTCCTAATAAACATCGAATGTGATAAAATGGTGAAGACTGGATAAGACGCAGCTCTCTAAATGTCTCCAGTAAGTCACATAAAAGGGAAAAGGAGAGAGCGCAGGCCTCAGCCCACCCACACCATCGGTCCCATTTTCCATCCCTGTCAGACCCTCCTCCCACCATTGCACAGTGATACACAAGCTCAGAGTGCTCCCCATTCACTTCCACCAGCAAATGCCAGACATCTTCAAGGCCAGGTGACTCAGTCTCCTTGAAATTCTTGGATGAGATGTGTGCATGCTTTTCTTTCTGCCTTTTTAATGGTTTTTAATGCTGTGCCTCATTCTGTTTTCCCCACAATACATCATGAACTGAGAAACAGGTAGATGACCAAGGTGTATACATAGATATATTCCGTATAGTCGTCTGTGTCTCTGGCAGCTGGGAACAGCCTTCTGGTTCACCTGCTGTTTCCTTAGGGTGGGGTGAGATCTTTAATGTGGCAAATGTAAAATTTCCATTATCCTCAGACTGTTTGCTAATCTATTTGTTGAAACAAATGATTTATTGGAACGAATTCGTCTTTTCAAAACAAATGGCCTAGCAGGACTGACTGTAACTGATTTAATCTTCTTGTTTATTCAGACTGGACCAAAAGGATTGAGTACCAGCCTGGCTCGGGGAGTATGCCCTTGTTCCCCAGCATCCACCTGGAGACGTGCGATGGCGCTGTGTCTTCCCTCCAGGTCACCGCCGAGCTGCAGACTAATTACATCGGCAAGGGCTGTGACCGTGAGACCTACTCCGAGAAATCCCTTCAGAAATTATGTGGTAGGCTTTTCTTTTGAGAATTTGTTCAATTAATAGCTTTCCAGTGATACATGCAAATTAAGTTTATCTAATTAGACCGCAGAGGGAAAGGAAACCCAGCCTTCCCAACCTGCATCAGCCCTCCTGGACGGATATTTGCTTAGGGCAGAAGGGTCAGAAAACTCAGCTTTTGGCCTCAAGCACAACTGATTCAGAGTCTGCTTGCCAGTCGTGTGGCTTTGGGCAAATAGCATGACAGAGCTTCCATTCTGTGCTGGTAATATGGGGATTAAACAGCAAAGTTCAGTTAAAAGTTTCTGACACAGAACCAAGTGACACTCAAGGTCCTTCTGCCATGCCAGGTTCTCAAGAGCTTCTTGCCTAGGACCATTATAAAAAGGGGAGTCAGACACCTGCAAAAACATTTGGCTCATTTCCACCAAGCAGCTACATAATTTTCAAGGCCCAATGCAAATGAAATGATTAAGGGCTTTAATATAGGAACAGCAAAACACTCGACCGAGTGTCTGCGGCTAAGCAGCTGCTCAGGGTACAGGCACGTGAGGCTGAGCCTGGCTGTCCACAGCAGAGCAGCTTCAGGTAGGGTGGGGGTGGGTACAGAAAGATATTCACACATGTGTAGCATCATTAATTAAAACTCAGAGACAGAAATTGGGGTTCAACCTGAAGGTCAGAGAAGCAAAACAGTCAGTCACTGGCTTTTACCTCTACCTCAGTCAGAAATGGCGATCCTGTCTCCAGGAATCTCAGAATGAGACTGAGAGCTGTCTCCTCCCATCTTGTATTCCTCTCTAGGACTGGGATTAAAGGTGTGCACCACTACTGCCCAATTTCTATGGCAAACTAGTGTGACTTCTGGGATTAAAGGTGTGTGTCACCACTACCTGGTCTGTAAGGCTGACCGGTGGGATTGTTTCACTCTTGATCTTCAGGCAAGCTTTATTTGTTAAAGCACAAATAAAATATCACTGCACACATGGAGGAGAAAGGGAGACAGGGAAGCAATTATTAATGGAGAGGGAGAGTGGGCTGCAAGAAAGGAGAAAGGCCAGGAAGTATTGATAGGAAACTGGGCTGCTAAGAGGATGCCGTGGAGGGGACTTGGACCAAGCCTGCCTTTATTGCACACCCATGGTGTACATCCCGTGACTCTCAGCCTATGATGCTTCATTTGACTTTCACATGTGTGCTATAAGGAGAATATATTCACTAAGTTCTAAAGACGGAAACTTGGGGACTTTATGTAATCTGTTGAAGTTGACATAGATAGAAAGTGTGAGAGATAGGGTTTGAGAGCAGATCTATCTGAGTGGCAGGGTCATTAGTCAAACATTTGCTGTGGCCAGCCTGGTCCCTAGAGCTGAACAGCCACTCTCCAGCGAGTCTGTGAAGGAGAGACGAAATATTCGTGAGGTGGAGCCAGTCTACCGGCTCCATAAACTGGTTGCTTCGTAAACATGGAGCGCTTCATCTCGCATGGACACACAGCACTTCTGCTTGGTTCTCTGCAGGGATATCCAAGGACTCACTTGCAGCTCTCCAGTCTCGCTGTGGGAGGGAGCTGAAGCAGTTTCCTCCCACAGTGGGCTGCATTTGACAGTAACCACACCTTTTCAAGAGGAAAGTGAGGCCCCTCTACATACAGTTGAGTGCATCGCCTCTGTGAGGGCCTCCACCACTATCTTTAGGAAATCTTTTTCACTGTTTGCTCTTGCCCAAAGAATCAAGTGAAAATTTTAGAACCAAGATAAAGCCTGGTTAGTAAGCATATTCTGTTCATCACATCACCAGGTTTTGAGGGAAGGTCTGTGGGCATGCCTGCCCCTCTGAACTGTTCGGTAGGTTGGGGGAAATGGTGCTTTAAACAACTATTTCAAGAGTGGGTATGTAGGCATTTGCAATGTTCACACAAGGCTTCCATCCTGCCCTTTCTTCTACTTAGTTCACAACCTGACATCTTACTTGGAAGGAATATCCCTTTGCATTCTCTGTGCACCTGGGGTGTCAGTGAACTTGACCCCACATGGCCACCAAAGGTTACAGGCATTTCCCAAACCGCTCTGAGTTAGAAGGAAATGATGAATCAGCTTGTTAAAGATCGAGGGCCCAAGGACACATGCTTGTGACTTGATTTTGAATGTTCCTGGGCAGAGCGAGGGTGCGGAGAGTGTTTTGAGGGGAAAAAAGGAGCAGAGCTAAACTCCACGTGCTATGCTATCATCTTATTCCATCTGGACTGTTAGCCTCCTAGGCTAACACAGATGGGGACACAGTTTCTCCAGGCACGCTTCCTCTGATTCTGGGAGCTCCCTTTCGAATGAGACAAAGCTGTTTCTCACGAGCCACCTCCCCAGTATCACTGCCTACCACTCTTATGGAATTCCCTGCCCAGTGACCATGGTAGCCAGGTGAGTCATGCTTCAGGTCAGAAGACTTAATTCTGATTGGCCTGGAGTAGAGTACAGCAAAACAGGGCAGAAGCAGAGGGTAGAACATCAGAAGTCATGCCCTCTGGGATCTAAGGAAAAGGTAGGAGCTGAGTCATGCCCCACACAGAGGCTGGATGGCACTGTCTGACTCTTGTGAGCAGTGTGGTTGCTGCTGACAGACATCTGTGTTTTCAGTAGATGGGAGAAAGGCTGCTTGCTGGGTTCCCAGATAGAGAATTGCTATGACACTTTAAACCTCAACCTTCATGCACTTTTCATCCTGCAAATCTTTATTGACTTTGGAGAGAAACAGGGAGAGCAATTAGGAGGTTATTACTACCATAGTCTAAGCAACAGATGACTTCTGTGTCAGCAGAGATGAATTTAGGACAGCTAAGAGGCAAATCAGCAAGATCCTGACAAGTGGTTAGCTGTTGGAAGGAAGAGAAAAGGAATCTAAGGTACCAGCCTCAGTATCTAAGTGGGTGACAGGGGCCACACCCTAAGCCAGAAACTCCAGAGCAAGGGGATATTTATGGAGCAGTGCTGGCAGTCACCTGTGGAACCCCACATTCCAGCCTCCTCTCGGTTCTCCTGAGGATCTGCCTCCACTTGTGGTCCCATCACCGTAGCTCCTTTGATGCTGACGCTCTCCCTCCCGTTTTGTCCCTTTCCCTTGTTTCTTCTCCTTACCAAGTCTTTGCTCTTCTCTCTGGAGCCTGTCCCTTCAGTCACTAGTAACCGGTTCCCTCACCCAGTACTAAATTGCTTCTGCGGGAGCTGGGGCTCTGTAGCGTCCTCTGTGTTAGTGTGGTTGGATGGTGACCCAGCCAGGCTGGCTGCCCAAGAGGTGCAGTGAGTGAATCCCGATTAAGGGAAAAGAGGGCGGTAGCTGATGTTTGCTGACGTCCAAAGGCACCTGATGCAACAGCACTTGAGATGGACCTGTAGAAACACTGGATGGCAGACATTTGCTTCTTGAGATGTAGCCATGGCGATGCTTCTATTCTGCCTTGGAACAGTAGAGTGGTGCTCCCAGGACCTCTCTCTCCTCTAGATTGTGGAACAGATACAGCCTAAGCCGATCCCATCTTCCAGGCTCCACATGAAGCCAGGGTTCTTAGCAGAGGTGGTCAATAACCTTCTCCAACTTCAGGAATTCAAATGAAGGTCCTATCTCAGGACCAGTCTTTCCAGATGTGAAATGTCACAGCACTGTATTGAGGATGACATGCAAGAAGCAGCCCTCAGGGAAAGCTCTCGGCCAAATCAAATCTGACATTAACAATGGCCCAAGCAAAGGTCCCCCACTGTGACCCTATGTCACTACATATTATATGAAATAGAAAAGTACTTTGTGGTGCATATGCCCTTTGTAACTCAGAGGCCAGGCTGTTCCTCAGAGAATCAAGGGCTCCTGGCAGCTGGTCACCACTTCCTGAACACAATGCCAAAGGTGGCTGTTTTGTTTGTAAGTTGAGAGTTCCCAGGATAGGTCCTGTTGAAGGAAAGGCCACGGTCTATGAGCACGCTATTAAAATCCAGAGCTCCCAAAATTGGTGCAGGGTGGGATATCCCAACCCTATGTTCTCCAGATTCATACACTGGTGAGCCAGGGGATTCATTCATACATGGAATACTTCAATAAATGTTTTTGTTTGTCCTAATTCTGTGTGACCCTTAAAATAATATAGAACCATCGATAACATAAACACCTAATAATTCTGTTTCCTAGGAAGGCTGACATATTGACAGGAACTGCAGTACAACATTGAGGAAGGAAGAGAGTCCATGGTTTTGTGATAGGTTGCAGATCAGCAGAGTTTGTCCAAAGAATCACCATCAGAGGCTCTGATGCCCTCAGCATCCCACACATCTAGTAAGCCATCATGGCTGGTGTTTCCTGGGCGGAAGTAGTAACCCCTTTGTCTTTTCAAAGCTTTAGCTCATAGTACTTTACTTCATTAGGTTGAGGGTCAGATTAATTTTCTAATCTGTAGGACATCAGCACAGGGCTGTACACACTGGTTTATCATGATGGCATGGGCAGTGATCTCTCTCTGAATATGATTATTCCTTGGAGGCCACTTAAGCAACTGTCATACCATTGTCTTTCATTGAGAGAAGGCTTTTACCTACAGTGGCCTTTTCCAAGATGGCCAGAAACTAAATAGGTGTCCATGACTCCACCCCAAGTGTCTGGCTACCTACTTGTTAACAAAGCCAACTTGTTCCACCTGGAAATCCAAGATTCTATTCTCAAGGCCTTCGGACCTCAGGCATGCGGAGGGCAAAATGGAAAACACAGTTACCTCCATCATTTGCATCTGTGAATTTTCAGTACAGATGCTCAGCCAGGTTATGCTGCAGTAACAAATGAGCTCACAATCTCATTGGCTTAAAATAACAGAGGTTTATTATTCCTACCACATGTTCTTCTTGGATGGGGCAAGATCCAGCTAATAGAGTAGCCTCTGTCTAGAACTGTTCATCACTGGAGAGATGAACAAGATTCATGTGAATTGTGGACTATCACTTAATACTTCTTTTCTGCTAGGATACATCACTTGTGTTCTCATTTCTTCAAACATGAGGTTGAGTTGATATTATGGGTCAGAGAAGTATGTTATGCATGCACATTCTTCTATTGCCCAGTTCCAATGGTACACCAGGTCTTCCTAGCTAGGTTCTAGCAAGAACCTCTACCCTGAACTGTTCTACACACTTAACTATTCCTCCAAGAAAGTAAAAGGCTTACTGGGTCACTAATGGTGAAGCCATTTCCATGCGGTTAAAGGTTTGCCCTCATGGCATTGCCTGGCATAACTTAGACATTGAATACACATTTATTGAGATGATAGGGAGTGATGTCATGTATCTGCTTATTGCTCGCCATCTGTCTTTCTGAGAATACTATAGAGTGAGCCTGGTCTTAGAAGAGACAGTTCCTCGTTCAAGATCCTTCCACTTCACCCCTTCTATGCCCTGCAGTGGACTCTGAAGGCCCCGTGCCCATCACTCTTGCCACAGCCCCACTTTGAAATGCTAGAGGACACTGCCTGTCCACATTCAGGCCGTGCACAGCAGAATACAGACCTAAGCGACCACACCTCCACACCCCAATTTACCTCCGTCATTGACCTGTGCCCATAAATCTCCCCCATTCTGCCCTGTCTCTATTTGCTGCTCAGAGCAGTGACTCTACCCTGGTAGAGCCCAGGGACTTGGAAGCAGAGCTCGTCACTGGTTTGGAGCCCCTAGCGCTGAGGCTACAGCTGCAATTCACCACAAGAACATGAATGCTTTACATTTAATGGCTCCAGGAATTCTCACTGAGGACTCCAAAGAAGCAACGTAAGCATACTGGGATGTGCAGTTGCTGCCACACCATGTCTGCAAGTGACATGCCTTGTTTTCCCACAGCTTCCCTAGAGAGTTCTTTGTGAGGAAGAGGTGAAAGAACTTTGGGTGGAAACGAATCTTCTTTAGTTTGTTTAAGCATACCAAGACCTACATTCAATCTGCTAAGTCCGTGGACGTCTGCACCATCTGGCTAAATGCATCATGTTCTCCGACAAATAACATCTGTGGACAGGGAAGGAAGACTGCCAGTCCCCTACACAGGAAGACGCTGGAGCCCTGCTTAGGTGGCCTCAGTGTGCTCCCCTGGGAACAGACACCTATACGGAGAAGGGACATTTCCTGGGACTGGGGTGATCAGTCCAGCCGGCCAGTCATTGGACACTAGGCTGTGTCAGGCACACATAATCTGCATGTCACAGCTGCACCTGTCTCTAGCTAGTCATATGTTGGGGTGACCTTGGTCTAGTCACTTCCTCCGTGGGCTTCGGTTTCCAAATTTGTTCACTCCACAAAAAGTGTATATAAAATTTTGTTACAGCTGAGTGAGGAGATTCAGAAGGAACCTGGGCTCTGGGCTCCCTCAATCTGGGGCCTCTTACCTATCAGCTGGAATCCTAGTGGTGTTCGCCAGTCAGACGTATGATAAAGGAGCAGGTGTAGTATTTCAGTAATCCTGGTGTGGCATCCACTTTCTACTCCATAGAAAGTTCCTTTGGAGAGAATAAAGTAAAAGTATAAGAAAGATGGGTTCCAGTTCTGGTGCGGGAGAATTATCTGTATTCTGTCAATCATATTTTAATAAAATGCTGATTGGCCAGGCAGGCAGTATAGGCAGGAAAGCCAGACAGGAAGTAGAGGTGGAGCAAAGAGACTGAGAGTATTCTAGGAAGCTCCCTCTGTCATTCCTGCACAGACCACCGAAGAGGCAGCATGTAACTTGCCCAGCTGAGAAAGGTACAGAGCCATGTGGCTAATGTAGATAAGGATAATGGGGTAACATAAGTTATAAGAGCTAATAAGTAGCCTGACCTAATGGGCCATTCAGTTTATAACTTATAGAGATCTCTGTGTGATTGATTTTCCTTTGGGGCTTGCCGGCTGTGGGGTACTAGGCGGGACAGATACCCCAACAAACCGGCCCCCTCATGTTACACAGTTCTATCTATCGAGCATCCCTGTTCTGGGTGAGGTTACTCTGGCCAGTTTGCTTCCCACACACCTATGATGTCACACATTTCTGTGTATTTCTTCCTAAATCTGTTTTTTTGAGGGGATTTTTTTACTCCTTTCCTTCACTAGTCTAAATTATTAAGTGCTGTGTGAATTCCACAGGTACAGAAAACCTCTTCTGATAAAGGGAACCTCAGATGATAGTTCCCAGCCCTGCTAAGCCTTACCCCGGGTCCCCTGTGTGCCACCTTTGCTGCTCCATTGATGGCAAACCAGATTACACCCCTCCTCCAAGATAGTGTACGTGTATCTCTGTACTGTTCTTGGATAAACTCTATTGACTTTTTTCTGGGGATCTAAGTGATCAGCCTGCATCTCTCCAGCTACCTCAGGTTTCAAGAACGAACAATAGGTGCCTGAGTTACTGGTTGCCTTTATGATACACAAACCCCAGAGTAGGATCTAATGCTGTTATCAGTAAAAGAGGCTGCTGTGATACGATTCTGTGGGTGATGAGGAAATGAACTTTTCGATATGCCACGAATCTCTCACTCCCAAACCACCCGCTGGTCTCTCCCTGCTACCACCTTGACTGATGTCCTTTTTAGCTGTATATGGAGAATGCTGCCCAAGGAAGACAAACTGATAATGTGAACTTGCTTTTCAGTTGTGTGTGTGTGTGTGTGTGTGTGTGTGTGTGTACACATGCCAGGGGAGCACTGTGAGGTGAGAATAAGATAAGAGCTGCAAGGCATAGACAAGAGGCAGGGTGGCCACCTGAGCACTGGATGAGCTGCTAGAGCCTGTCTGTCAGCCTTTCTGCCTCCCTTATTTTTTCCTGCTACGTATATGTTGTATTGTGTGTATGCTGTGTTATGTGTACATTTGGATATGTATTATTAATGTAGGTGTGCATACATGAGCACATAGGTGTGTGTGTGTGTGTGTGTGTGTGTGTGTGTGTGAGAGAGAGAGAGAGAGAGAGAGAGAGAGAGAGAGAGAGAGAGAGAGTCACAAGTTTAGGATTAAGTTTCTCTCCTCTAGCACTCTCTTTAATTTGTGAGTCAGGGTCTCTCACTGAACCTGAAGTTCATTGATTAGCTAGGCTGACTAGTGAAGAAACCTCCAGGTGCAGGTTCTGTCTGTCTCCACGCACTCCCTCCTAGTTCTTGGCTTTCAGACACACACCACTGTGCCTGGATTTTTATGTGGTTTGTGGAGACCCAAATCTATGCTTGTGAGGCAGGCCTTTACTGATTGCGTCATCTCCCAAGCCTTTACCAGCCTCTTAGGGGGTGTGTAAAAGAAGAAGGACAGTTGTAAATGGGGACTAAATATCAAGTGCAGAACAGGTAGCATCCTTAGAAAATGCCTGTGTGACTCATGACATCAAGTCTGCCCCTACCTCCCACAGAGACTTGTGAATCGAGAGGCTGCATCCCCCACCTTCGCAAGGATGGCTCTGCTACAGGCCTTTTCAGGATGAACTTAATGCAGTCTAAGTAGAGTGTCTGTACTCAAAGGAATTATATTTTCTCATGTAGTACACTCTTCCACTCCCAGTCAATGAGTCTGTGCCTGCTGGTCCATTTCAAACCCAAAGAGAAGTCTGGCTAAAATGTACATTATAAGGAAGTATATTGGTTTCCACTGTGGCACCTCCTGAGGAGTTCCCAGGGTAGGAGACTTTTCATGACAGCTGACCTTGAAACCCAAACCCTGGATAAGATGACTGTCTGCTCTGCAGAGGTCAAAGGCCAATGACCCAACAGACATCAGATAGTGCACACTTCCCACCACACATCAGCATCTTCAGCGGGAGGCAGCTGCTCTCACCTTCATACCACCCACACAACATTTACAATGACTGCTGGATGCCTTGTCCGGAGACAGCCCCACACACAGCCCTGGCAAAGCTTGCATTCCCCAACTAATCAAACTTGAACATAATAGGAGGCTCCCAACCCCTCCCCCATCTTACCTGAGCATCTGAGCCCTATTTCTATAAAACAGAGGCTGCTGCTCCATAGAGTGAGTTGGAGCCCAAGGGTCCTCCCAGGAGAACAGTCAGCTCTTCCCTCTCCCTAACCTTCCACAAAGCTGCCCTGTGGTGGGTCCTGTATAGTCTTGCTGGTTTGGAATAAACCCTCCTGCTCTAGCCTGGTGAAAAAATCCACAGTAATGGTGTTGATAAAATTGTAGCTCACACTGAGAGAGCACTCATTCTGTGTTAAGCATATAGCTGCAAGCTTGAATGCATAATCCTGTTTGGTCCCCACCTACACCGCGGAAAGTAACACAGAGAGATTAAGAGACATATTTCCTGTCACAAAGCTCCCAAGTCAAGCTGCCAGGTGTCAAACTCAAGTGTTTAAGGGCTGCAGGCCTCAGAGCCCCTGGTCTCAAGCACCATACCATTTGGCTTCAATAAAGGGTTGTAGAAAAATGTAAAGTGTACAAAGTGAGTTACCACCTTCTTACGAGATGAGAACCTGGAATTTTCCCCAGTCATAACCCTGATCATACTATGCTATCTCTTAGCGTCTCCATGATAATAAGTATCTGATTCCTCTTCATGTGGACAGACCTTAGCACGGGTCAAGGCATAGGGTTAATGCTCAACAAATGACTGACAGGCTAATTGATTGATAGGTGCCTATCCTATCAATTCACCCAAATTAAGCCCTGGCTGTCTGCAGGAAATCGAGCTAATACAAACCCCGTGGTTCTCCAAAACTTCAGCTCCTTTCCTTGTACAATAGTTGATTATGCCTGCCTGGACATATGTATCACTTTCCTCTGCAAGTTAGCAATGTGTACCTAAGCACACCAGAAGCAAGTCAGAGGCTGGAATGATACTGGGCTCTTTTCTGAGCTACCTAGGTCAGGAACAAGCCCAGACCTCATTCGGTACACTAGCTGCATTCTGACAAGGAAGCAGATGTCGGAAGGCAAGGACACTCCCACCCGCAGGAAAGACCCACAGTGCTTTCATCTCTTCCCATTGCAGGAGCATCCTCAGGCATCATCGACCTTTTGCCATCCCCTAGCGCGGCTACCAACTGGACTGCGGGACTGCTGGTGGACAGCAGTGAGATGATCTTCAAGTTTGATGGCAGGCAGGGTGCCAAGATCCCCGATGGGATTGTGCCCAAGAACCTGACAGACCAGTTCACCATCACTATGTGGATGAAACATGGCCCCAGCCCTGGCGTGAGAGCCGAGAAGGAAACCATCCTCTGTAACTCGGATAAAACTGGTGAGTCTCTCACCTGCTGTGTCCTCCATGGCTGGACAGACATAGCTGTGGTGGGTGTGCTAAGACAGAAGCACAGTAGGGAGCTTGGGAATGCATTCTACGCTCTGATTTTCCTGCTGCTGATTTTCTAGGATTTGGGTAAAGCAGGGTTAGGAAAGAGTGCAAAGGAAAGGTGTAAACAGGGAATGCGGCGGTTTGGATCAATAATCTTCAAGCTGAGTTCCCAAGAACTCCCATGTTATGGAAGCACCTTAGGGGTGCTTGGGGGGAGTGGTGGTGAGGAGGACTTCTTCATCCCTCCTGCAACAAAGAAATTACACATTTACTATATCATTCAAGTGTTTTCACAAGCCCTCGTTTGAATAAATGGATCCTGTCAACTTAAAGCAGTAGTTTGAAGGGGACAGTGACAGCTAGCGGCTGCTGTACATTTCTTTCATGCTGGTCCAACACAAGGTCGCTCTGGGGATTGACCACACCCCATCGCTTGCAGATGCGTGAACTTGTAATAGTATCATCTTCCTCATGAGCTGCTTATGCCAATTAAGTAACTTAAATATACACAAAGCTCTCAGAACAATGCTGGTCTCTTGGAATATATGGTTGGTGTCAACTACTCCTTTTCTGTACCTTTACAAGGGAAATTTGATGAATTCATTATTGTGTCTCCCATCTTAAGGATAAGGAAACATTCAATGAGAGGTTAGCCATCTTGTACCAGGTAGTTAGGTACACAGCCAATAAACATGGGAACCAGAATGTCAGTTTAGCTTCCGCTAAGTTCACATCCTATGGATGTGTGTCACTGTGCGTCCATGTGCACATGAGCACACCACACCACACACACACACGCACGCACACACACACATCTTGAGATCTTTTGCCAGGTTTTAAACTCTGCCTTTAATTATGATTCCTGTCTCTGATTTCAAATATAACTTTTGTTGAAACACTCGGGTAAATCAGTGTTTCTATCTGTAAGACAGCACAGAGAGTGACTGGTAGCTCAGCACATGCTGTCAGACAAGCCCAGGTCCACAGCTCACCTAGATGGCTGTTGAGGTGTGACCTTTGAGGAGTTATTAAGCTCTATAAGCTTCGGTTTCCCCATATGCCAAGTGGAGGAAATAAGTATGAATTAAAATATGAAATCATTTCAATAAGATGCAGAAGTAGTGGACCATTAGTTTAGGTGATATCACTGGCACCATCATTACTAATTCTAAGGTTATTCCATTTCATGTCACTATAAGACCTCCACATTTTCCATCCATCCATAGATCCTTGTAGTCTATGCTGTTGTGTTTTTTTTTTTTCTAGATAGACACTAAGCCAGAATTGCCTGACTTTTGCCTACACATAAGATTAGTCCATGTAGGAGGAATCAGGACCAGCAATAGATTTTTCTCTGGGATCTTCATGCAGGAAAGATGTCATGAACAAGTATGAGGTGACACTAATCTTGGGACTGGGCTTAGTGGTCTTGTTCTAGCAACACCTGGTGGTTGCTCTGGATATAATGGCTCTAGGTCCAAAGTCCCCCTGAGGCCTCAGGATGGTGCAACTGATCAAGACTTAGCAGCTGCAAATATGAGGATTTTTTTGAATATGTGTCAAACGCTCCCAGGAAATAGAGAAACCAAACAGTGTTTCTGCCTACACAAGGGCAAGTGAAACAGGACAGTTAGTGTAATGAGCCAGCACAGCACCACTGTCTAAAACAGTGTATGCATGTCTAGGAGCACTTCTGCACACCCGAGAGTCAGACTCTTACAATGGAGGCACCACAGGCTCTTGTTAGAATAAGCCAGTGAAGTTACAACGTGTGAAGCTTTACAAAGTGTGGGTGCCAGGACCCCATCCTAGGTCTACAATTCAGTGCCTCAGAGGAACTCTTCGGGGCAGCCGTGGCTGCAGTCTGCAATAATGCCTCCTCATCACAGCGGCTCACCAGCAGGATGCTCGTCACCCCAGGCCTGCAAGGTCCCGTGCCTCAACTCTGCCCTTGCAGGAAGCCATACCTTACAGTTAGTTTAAGGTTTGCACAGAGGGCTAAGGAGATGGTATAGTGGGAAAAGGCACTTGTCTCCAAGTCTGATGACCTGAACTTCATGCCTGCAGCGCACACCTTGGAAGGAGAGAAACAATTCCTTCAAATTGTCTCCTGACCTCCACAAATACAAGTTTCTGCTCTTGTACCCATACATGTATGCAGACCTTCACACACACACACACACACACACACACACACACACACACCCCACATGCATCATAAATATCCATCTAAAAAAAGATGGTTACAGAGAATGTGGAAAGGTTTCAGTCTATCTTAGCTCCCTGGGAGGACAGTACTATAAATACAAAATATTATGATTTAATCAAGGCCTGATTAGGACTTTTATTTTATATTAGGAAATTTTTACAGTGGCAAGGTGATACACATTGCAGTAGAAATGGAGAAAGCACAGGAAAGTATCAAAATATACAAACCACCTAAAATCCAAACACTTGAAGAGACATTATCTGATAACAGACTATTTCATTAAAATGTTACTTTTATCTCTATGAATAAGAATGTTCTTCCCATTTCAATTTATTTTCATAATGCACATGGGACTATTGTTTCATATATAACTATACCCAGGTTGCATCTCCACGTAATAAAGTATTTTGGGGGGAGGGGTGTGTGACAGAAAACTCATGTTGCCGCCCACAGCGGTCTTGAACTTCTGAGCCTCCTGTCTCTAAGTCCCAAGTGCTAGGATTGCAGGCATGCACCACCATGCCTGACAGATAAAATCGTCTTTAAAAACTAAATTGCATACCAGTTTAAAACTCTGCCATGTGGATTTATCCTACTTTATTTAATGGCTTCTTTTGTCAGCTACTTAGACAGCTTCTCTCTTTAAAGGCAAGTAAAACGATGCTATGGTGAGCATTCTAGAACATAACTTTCACACATTTCTGATTGTTTCCTGCCTGGAGTTGGATGACTAAGTCCAAGAATATAAATATTGAGAAAATTATGAAACTGGCCTTCGTGAACGTCAGATTGCTTCCTCTTTGGTGAACTAAACAAAATTTGCTAATGCTGGCCCATTATAAAGTCATCTATAAATAGTTGGATAGCAGAATTGATTCGTCAGCAAAGGGTAACTGTGTGGAAGAAAGAGAGAGAAAAGGGAACTCACTATAACCATTATTACTGATATAGCCCTCAGTGGCCACTGCTTTCCTCTCGGGGTCTCTCTCATTCGTTTGTTCAGTGGTGGGTAGGGAGGACAAAGCTCCACTCGGTTCAGGTGTCCTGAGACAAGAATCCTTGCATTGTTCGTTCTGGTTATACTTAGCCATTAGAGAAAAATAACACTGTTGAATATAAGAGAGTTTTATTGACAAAGACAGCAGGTTGTATGTTGAATCTCTAATCTTCCACTTCCCAGAACTTGGTCATAGGGTCCTCACCCAGCCATGGAGAGGGTATGAGAATCAATTCACCATGCATCTGATTGCAAAGGATGCAGGGTTAGGAGCACACACAGCAGTCCCTCTGCCACAAGGGATGCTAGAGTCTTTGCTGGCTTTTGCCTCCCATTCTCTGTGTGAGTGATGCTCTTGCCTGTTAACACTCACAATTCCTCCCGAGCGCTGTCTCCATAATGCCTCCATGCCCACACCTCTGCCCCTGCAGCTGGGGTCCCTTCTTGCTGGGGGATTCATCCTACTTTCTTTGAGTTCATCTGGGAACCATGGATGCTAAGTGGCCATGCACAGTGCTTGACATTTCCTACTGGAAATCCTAAGACACGGGGATCAACCTGACCTAGCACTAGCAGAGCATCAGCCCAGGAGGGAGGACTACAGAGACCCTCCCACCTAAGAGAAAACAAGGGTGTGCCCACAGCCCCCGAGTGACTAGAAAACTGCTCAGAAGAATTTCAAGTGTAAGAAGAGGTGGGAACCCCACACACACACTCCCTGCTGCCTGATGATTGATCAGGAGATGCTCCTTAGCTTGTGTGTTGATCCAGGAGTCTACAGCAGTGAGACAGAGGGAAGGAGAAAAGGCCTAGGTTGAAAGATGCTCTAGCAGAGGAGGTCTGTTCTTCCGGTTTTTCTGGTCCACCTCTTCACCCTAGTTGATTCCAAATAAAGCTAACAAAGGCAGAAAAAAATATTTCTACCTTCCTTTTCCTCACAGTTAGTAGGAACACAGAAAATCTGTTATGTAATCATGAAGGGGCATAAAAGCATTTTGTAGACTACTCATAACCAAGCCCGAGGGGTTTTGCCAACCTAGAGGTTAAGAGTGGTTCCCTCCAAAGTGGGCACATGTAGCAACCACCCATCCTCCTCTCATCTTGGGGTTGGGTTTTAGAGAATGTGAATGCTTGGGTAGAAACAGCATCTGACTGGCTGTCTGCACTGCTATAGTCCCAAGGCACAGCAATGGCCTTTGTAATAACCAACAGCCACTAAACATCTGTTTCAGGCAGATGCTTTACACGCATTTCCTCACTGTTGCAATTAAGATGCTATCCATTACAGAGATGGGAAATCCGGATCAAATGATATCAAATAACTTTAAAATCAAATCAATGCAGAGAATGCAGATTTCTTGTACCTGAAAACTCCCAGATCTTTGTTGACTTCATACCTCTCGTAGGTAAACTGTGATCAAGGCACAAGTTTATTTCCTGTGCATTTTCTCAGATCCGTGTCTACACATGTACCAGTTCCAGATTAGCAAATAAGACTGCAGCTGCCACAGACCTCTGGTTTTATACTGCACTTCTCCCAAGGAAAGAAGGCATCCCTTGGGTTCACATTCTGCTGGTACCCATCCCAGAACTACTATAAAAGTACTAACCATTGTCCTAAACCAAGTCCTCCCTGCAAGTTCTCAACAGAGGCTGTGTGGTCAGGAGAATGGACCTCTCTGTTGACCTTGGGCAGGCTTCTTAAACCAGTTCCTGTGTTGGGGGATTGATGGGAACCTATTTAGACAGAGCCAATTAAGGCTCATCTCTAGATATGAGGCCAGTGTTGACCTCATTGCAAGGTTTACACAGGATGTACAGGAAACTACTCCACTATCCCTACCCTAATTCAGATAAGGAAACTGAGACACCAAGAAGCTGGATGACTCAATCAAAGATACAATTCCACAGAAGTCTTTCTTTGAAGATTTTATTTTATGTGCATTGTTTCTTTGTTCACATTCATGTCTGTGTAAGGGTGTTGGATTCCCCCAGAATTGTAGTTACAGACAGTTGTGAGCTGCTATGTGGGTGCTGGGAATTGAACCCTGGTCCTCTAGAAGAGCAGATAGTGCTCTTAACCTCTGAGCCATCTCTCTAGCCCTCCACTGAAGTCTAAATGTAAGGCTATGTTCATTCCTATACATGGTTCATCTATTCATTTACCCACTTAGACTGTGTATGCATCCCAGTAAATTTCTCTGTGTTCTACAGCCAAGTAAAATGTGATTTCTCCATGTTGGTACAGAACAGCTCATCTCCTGCCAATTCATAGTGTCTTGTGGCTCTAAGTGTCATGGCTAAAACCATGACATAAGATTTCCTAAGCAAGTAAGGAAGTCTTTTCATCAGAGCAAGAAAAGTCCCATTGATTGATCACTATGCCTGGGGAGGGGGGATTATTCATTGCTTTGAAGAACCACAGAATTATGTCTAATGCTGGAAAATCAATTTGTCTCCTCCTAGCAGCTAAAAGCAAGGCAGGCCCTCTTAGCATAGATTAAAAAGACAAAAGAGATGTGTTCTGTGGTCACTGTGTCAAGACTGAGAAAATAAAACAAATTCCAGAACTCCAGGAGAAATCACCCGTGCTGGAGGAGCCCAGGGATGGATGGGATTGGCAGAGAGCCCCTGTAAGTACACACCACAAACTTGCCAACATGATCACCTTTCACTGGGATCTGATGGAGAAGAGGTTTCAGGCCAGTGTCTAAAGGCAAGATAATTTCTCCAGAGGAGCTTTTGATGGGCCCTCCCAGTGCTTATTCCATTTCAAAGTCTTCCCCAACATATGTTCTGGGAAATTAATCAGAACCAATTATAGATGAGAAAATAAGAGAGACCATTCCTTTGTCTTCTAAACTGCCTAGCAACATAACGCAAGACTCTTTGGGTGGAAACAGATCCTCTCATGCCCCAACTCCATTTCTGCCTTTCAGAGATGAACCGGCATCACTACGCCCTGTATGTGCACAACTGCCGCCTCGTCTTCCTCCTGCGGAAAGACTTCGACCAGGCAGATACCTTTCGCCCTGCGGAGTTTCACTGGAAGCTGGACCAGGTGAGGTTCTCAGGGCATGCCTTCTCTTCTCTCCTTTGCAAGGACCATCCGTTTGCTCTCAGGGTGGTAGCAATGGGTAGGCTCTCTCCAGGTCTGCTAAGTTTCTTGGCTTTGGAAAAGTCAGTTCAGCATCTTATGTCGGGGTGGAAACTGCCCATAGCAGAGAAAAGGACCACATGCACCAGCTGAGATGCCACAGGGTCAGAGGACCTGTGCACCTGCGCACCTGTGCACCTGCATCCGCTCCACTTGCTTTTTGTTGAACACATGGGAAAATGTCTGTCCTGACTCCAGGCCTAGCTGAAGATCTCTGTTGACACGTCTTTGGCCTTTGTGTCATTGAGCCTCACCTCTTGCCTTTGATGATTTCCTTTCTCCTTTGGGCAACAGTATGGCTTGCTTTTGATAACAGGTGATTGAGAACAGGGACCTGAGGACTTTGAAGGAAACCATGACGTGGAGCATTGTTAGCAGTGTCTTCTTTTTTCAGAAGTGGGAAATCTGACTCGTTGGAGCTTTCTGGCTTGATCACAGGGCCTGGTACACCACACTTCTCTACAACAAATCACAGGTCTGGGTTGAGTCCAGAGCTTTGAAGTGTGTGTTCCTGAGGGTTGTACAGCATTGAGACTGTCAGAGTGTACTCATTCAGGGGGAGGGTGCTTCCCAGTGAGGAAGCAAAGCTGATATGGCCTTCCCCAAGAAGTGGACGTGGGGAAGGTTTTATTTTTAAAAACAGTATTAAATAAGCAAAAGGGAGAATGGCAAGAGGTAGGGGTGAGATGTCACTTAATGATGTTCATTTTATAGTCCCCAGTGCCTCAGGTCTCAATCCCTTGTTTTGTTTTTATTCTACTTTAACTTCATCCCACGCTGTGTGTGTTGTGACCTACAGAACTATTTTCTCCGTTCTCGACCCACTGGTATATTGCGATCTCACCGTTTCTAGGACTGAGTGTTTCATAATCCCATGTTTTCTGTCTCTTTACTACTCTGCCTCTTCTCTGTCTTCTCCTGACCCTCTCCCCTGGCTCCCAGTGGGACTGACCTCAGCGAGAACTCACTCCTGTGGAGATGTGAGCGATTGCTACCCCTTCCATCCTCACAGACACTCACATGGATGCTCTGTGGGACCCAGTTGCCTCAGCCCCGGGAATTTCCTCTAATGGAACCTCTGCAGTGTGAGAAAAGCAAGGGCAGTGTGGGAAGCCAGTGGCAACTGTCTGGCCTGATGGCAGAAAATGCTACCCGGCTGGATTCTGGGAGACCGAAAAGGCAGCATGTGTCTTCATCTGCATTTCCTTCTTTGTGCTAGGGATTCTGGGGCTCGGAGGAATGGTAAAATCTTGACATTGTTTATATGATTTCTCAGCAACCTCCCAGCTATGTCCTGACGTGCCAGATGGCTTTTATGGGATGTTTTAAAATATATAATACAAATTGAAGTGAATTAAAATAAATTCCATATTGTGAGGGGTTCTTTAATAAGAACATTGCCATACTGGTGGAGATAATTATAGTTACCCCAAGGCATTTTCTGAGATGGGATTGAGAAACAAGGATACAGGCAAATGAAGTTGCAGGGTTGGAAATTAAAAATAGACAAAGAAGGAATCCTGGTTGTGTAGATAAATATATAGTGAATGTAACAGTTCTGAAAGCCAGGCATTTAAGCAGGGGCAGAGTCACTGAGCACATTCCAAACTACCTGGGTCCCATGGATGTTCTTTTTCTTTTCTTCCTTTCTTCCTTTTTTCCATCCTTCCTTCCTTCCTTCCCTTCTTCCCTCTCTTCCCTTCCCATCCCTCCCCCTCCCCCTCCTTCTTTCTTTCTTTCCTTCTTCTTTGCGTGCTCTGTCCCAGGCAGGTTGCTTATGTAAAGCCATTCCCAGCTCTGCCACAGGCTTTCCATGGGGACTTCCAGGCAAGAGACTCCAGCCTAGTGACTTACCCAGGGCTCACAGAAAACCATAGCCAGCACCTGTCCTTTCTTTCAGGCTATGCCTGTGGTGAACATGCTGATTTAAAATGTAAAACTGATTGATTCGTAGATAAGAATTGTGCCTATTCTGGAAAATATCTGTAGTCGCCAAGGAACCTACAAACTTGGCTTAAGCCGCATTTTCATCTGCATCTCATTTTGTTCCAGCCTCCTTAACCAAGTACCCTGGGCTGCAGGGCTTAAGGGAGAGAAGTTTACTTTCAACATGGTCAAAGAAGTTGGGAAATGCAAGGTCAAAGTGCTTATCTATACATGTCCTAATGGGAGCTCTTTTTCCTGGATACAGAGGACCTTGATCACCCGCTTTGTCCTCAGTTCCAGAGAAAGATGACACTCTCATATCTGCTCCTCTCACAAGGAACCAGCCCTGTTAAGTGAAGTCCCAATTCTCGCTCCCTCTTTTTATATCGGTTGCTTGCCTCAGGCCATATCTTCAAATGTACCAGGAATTAGGATTTCAGACTGCAAGTTTGGGAGGACAGAATTCAGTCTACAGCATTTCCATCCGAAAGAAATGCATTTTCTGAAAGTCGAAGGAGTCCTTGCTATCAGATGCCACAGCTTATGAGGATGGTTGCCACGTGAAGAACGGAACCTGTACTGAGGTGGGCAAACGAACTCTCAACAGTACCCATGCTGGCAACCGTGTATATACAGGCCAACTTGCAGAACCTTCTTTCTTCTTACTTAACTCTCTATGATGTTAGAATCTTACCAGAAGTTTCTTGCATGTAAACGGCTTGTCGCCCAGAACATACAGAACTGATGAAGCTTCTCTATCAGGAACCTCCCTTGCATATCCCAGAGGGCATCTGTCCCCTCGTTCACCAGACTCCTTGTTACTCTTTTGCATTCCCATCGCAGTTTTCCCTCCTGTCTGCTTGCTTAGTGCCGAGCTCCTGGGAGTAGGCTGGTGTCTTACTCATCCCCAGCTTTACAGTGAACAGTGGTATCCAGAAAATGTCTGCATAACAGTGAAAGGATGTGGAGGGAGAAACACAATGAGGCTGGGGAGGAGGGGAAGAAAGAGAGAGGCAGAGAGAAGAAAAACCCAGAGATCATTTTAAAAACTTCTGCTGATGAATTAACATTTGATTCATTTCATTGTCCCATTCGTTCTTCCTCTCCAGTCCTTAAACAGTGTTCTTCTTGTTACCTTGTTAGTTTATTTCTGGGATCCAGTTGGATTAACCACCAGTGAGTCTACAGCTGGCCTTTGCCAAAAATTCAAACTGGTCCAGCATGCCATGTGCAACTGAATTCCTGGTCCACCTTGAACATTCTCAAAGCCTCTTATGGTTCTAATGCCTTCTGGGGCTTTTGTATTTCTGTCCTACATAACTTATCTGTAAGTTAGACTCTGTGTTTCATTCCCATCATCAGTACAGAACTAGAAGCCTTTGCTATCTAGAAGTGTCCGTGGCTCAAAAAGACAGTTCAGAGTATCATGCAGTCGGTGCTTGGTCAGAAAGCAGGGCACCAAGTAGGTACAGGAGGCAGGGCTGTCTGATGTGGGCCTGTGAATAAGAGCTTAAGGAAGCATCCAGATGGAACACTGGTATGGAAAGGTCCATGTGCAGAGCCAGGCATCCAAGATGACAAGTGAATGGGACCCAAGTGTTAAGAGTTCAGGAATGGTGGGGCAGGTAGGACTGAAGTAAGTCTAAGTAGATTTTTGTGTCATGTTGCTCCCAGGTGGACAGGTTACAACCAAAGTATTCATTATTCAATGCAAGACTATGACGTTATAGATGGGCAAACTTGGAAAGTCTGATATGGCATGTATCACATTGCATTCAAGCAAATGTAACTCTGGCTAGAACAATGCGTGGAGCCAGTGGCAGGAACTAAGGTCCTCTGTCCCTGTCTCCACAATCAGGCCAGGACCCAACTCCAGAGAGGTGCATTTGAACAGCAGGCTCCTTCCAGGCATTAAACTAGGATATGATGTACAGGGTGTTTCCTACATAACTTTCCAGGGGTAGCCAAGAGCAAAGAAGTTGCTCATGCTTCAGAGACATCATGTCTTTCCTCCTTTTCCCTATACTTACACTCCAAAGACCATTGCCAAAGCACATGGATCGCCTGTAAGTCTAACCAGGCAGCCCCAGGAAGTGCCTCTGAGAATCCAGGCCTTCTCACTCAAGAGATGCTAACAGCAAGGGGAATGTCATTTTAATAGGATTTTATTTTTTACTCAGAATCTACAAATGCAAATCCCTCAAGCTAGGCATTCAGTCATGTGCAAACTCAGACAAGAGCTCCCAGCACAGCCAGGGAAGGTTTATCAATGCACAGGCCCTCTAGGCTTTAATATTTTTTGGATATGGCTGATTCGGTGTTGTGAATTCTGATCGTCTTCCCATTGAACTGTTGGTATTAGAATGGTGTCCTCTGGTGTCCTCATCGGAGTGACACTGAGTGACAGCCTCAGTGAACCAGAGTGAGCACAGGTGCCCCAGTTCATATGAGGTAAACAAGTATCCATGAAGAACACAGTCCATGAGAGGCAGAAACTGGCCTCATTTGGTTAGTCATCGTCTTGCCTGTGCACCAGGGACAATGATTTTCTCTAAGGATGATCACTGATCTGTTGGGTCATGACCAGTGAATGTTCCCTGGCAGCATTCTCCTGCAAGAGTTCTAGACTCGAAAAACAGTGGGTTACTAAGAAGCAGCAAGGCTTAGAGAGGCCCAGCCAGGTGAAGCCAGATGCCTGGCTGGCTGAATTACAGATTTGTCTCCAGGTCATACAAAATCTGGCCTGACACTGTACTTTCAACTATCTGGAAGCTGAAAATCAGGTTTTCGTGTAAGCCATCTCAGTTATTAATATGGTCTCATTTAAAAATGTGTATCATCAGGCCAACCCAAATATTTTGTAGTATGCCTTTATTGTCTGGCTACCAGACTGAGTCTGTTCAATGAATAAATAAAAGGCACTTTTGATATTTAAAAAAAAAACAAAACCACAACAGAAAAAACACATTCTCTTTGGG